ATTTTAATTTTAGAAACCTCCAAATTTAAATGTGAAAAAAACAATCAAATAAAATCTTTTATATTTCTGTAAAAAATTAAAAAATAAATAACACTTTTAAATTATAATAATGATTATAGTATAAATGATACTGTATCATCATGGTACAAGGAAACATGGTATGCTACTATTAAAAACAATCTAAACTAGATATTTCACTTGCTGATGCTTTATTTAATGACATTATTTAATTAGTAATTAATATTAGATTTAATGTTATTATTATTTTATAAGCAAAGAGTATTATCATTTTATTTATATATTGTAACGTTTTTACTGTTCATAGTGTGAATAAAACACGCACTCGTTATTTAAGGAACTAACTATTTTATAACTTAATTACACTTAAAACACTAAGAAACTATAAAACTAACTAAACTCTTAACTAAGTACTAATTATTTATATATCACTACTGTACAAGAGTCTATTTATTTGCACGTATATTTATTTATTTCGTCGCGAGTACCAAAGCTTGACTGACTGCTCCATGCTGCGCTGTTTCTTATATATTCAGTGCCTACGTGCATTCCCGAATATTCCAGCGAGCTCCGGACTGCTCTCGATCGCTCGAGCGCTGACTCATTCCGAGATCCAGAGTACTCGCTACATTGCTCTCGTCTTAAAACATTTTCGTCCCGAAAATGGTCCTCAGCTCCATGGCGATATATGCATAAAGATCCAAGCTTGCATTGTGACGTCCTATAGAAGTAACAGTCTACGGTCTTCCTTCCGGTTGTTCTTTTAGGGTTGTGGCAACAGACAAGAATGTATATGCCACTAAATCTGAAGATAACTTCCACCATACTTCTAGTTATTCTCCAGTCTAAACCGTCAAGTCCACAAGCAATCTTCGGTATCGCCAGGTTCATGATGTCCTTGGACAAAAGGGTATCCCTCAATTTATTTAAGGCTTTCCATACATCACGGTAGTTTGTAGCTTCTGATGGGAGAGCTGCTTCGTTACCAGATAAAATATTCTTCTATTGCCTATCTGCTCATTATCCACAATTTCAAGCAACTCTCCAACTTTGGGATTCTGCCTTCGTAGATCGTCGACCCGTCTAAACTTTTAAATACAACCGCTATTCCCCTGGACATTCTAAGGTCTTCTGCAACACAGTGAGCCAAGGAGTAATCGGCCGAAACTGTGAACAGATCTTTTTGGTCTTCTCGAGTGACACCATACCATTACCGCTCGAATATAAATACATGACGTCTTCAAAAAGCAACTCGTCTTTCGGCGGATTAACACTCCTTACTCTAGCATCGTCTATTTGAGCATTGTTTCCAGCGTAAGGAGCCAATCGGTTGAAATGGATCACTTTCGGCTTTTCTCTTGGTTGTTTCCTGATCCTGTAGATGATGTCATTTATTCGATCCATGACTTCGTTAAGTCCCTCCCAAGAAGTCTGCAGCTTCGGTGAATAGCCACGACGGCGCTGAGTGTTGTATAACCAAACTAGGTCTCCAGGTTGAAATCCTCCATTTTCCGCCTTGATGTCATATGCCTCTTTCATTCTATCACTGGCACTCTGGATGTTTAAACGAACTTGACTGTGAATGTCGCTCATTTTCCTACGTAAATTGCTAAGGTAATCTTCTCCAGCAATGTCTTTCCCCTGGTAGGCAACCAAACCTCAGGTCACAAGACAAAGACAAAGTTCACATCCCATAACAATGCTAGCGGGTGTCTGGCCGGTTGTATCGTGGATAGAAGAACGGTATGCCAACAGAAACAGATGAAGGAAGCGGTCCCAGTCTCTTTGGTGATCAGAGACTTCCTTGGACAGGTACCGGTTTATCGTTCGATTCATTCGTTCTACCATCCCATCAGACTGCGGATGTAATGCAGTCGTCCTCGTCTTCCGAATGTTAAGAATCTTACAGACATTCTGAAACAATATAGATTCAAAGTTTCTGCCTTGGTCTGAATGCATCTCGATTGGCACACCAAAACGACAAATCCACTCCTTAATAAGGGCATCGGCCACTGTGGCAGCTTCCTGGTTTGGCAAGGCGTACGCTTCCGCCCACTTGCTAAAGTAGTCCATTACAACGATAATGTATTTATTTCCAGATTCTGTTTCCGGAAATGGACCGGCGCACTTCTTGCACCATTCCTTCACATCTCGTTGGCTGTTGATCCAATAAAACCGTTCCCTAAGTCTTCCGAGCGTCCTGGTCACCCCAAGATGTCCTCCAGTAGTTCCATCATGGATTTCCTGCAGCACTTCTGTCTCCGGGGATTATTATCTACTTCCAGTCTTCCCCCCCTTCTGGCATATCTAGAACGCGCTTTACAAGCCCGTCACTTAAGATGATGGAATTCCATTGGGCCTAGTACGATTTTACATTCTGCGAATATTGGGCGACTTCCTGCCACGTTGGTTTACGGCCGTTCTTCTTCCAATCGACGATAAGCTTTAAATCCGGGTCCCTTTCCTGGTCTTGTTGAACCTCAGCGGACTGCCAATGATCATCCACGATTGTATTCCTGCGAACAAACACATCCTTTTCTTCGGCTCTGAGATAATGTTTAGTCTTCCGAGCACTGTCTTCTTGACAAGGCGTCAGCATTTCTATGGATGGTCCCAGCCCGATGTTCTGTATCAAAGTTGAACTCTTGTAGTCTCTCAATCCCTCTTGCTACCTGTCCTTCAGGATTCTTGAATTGCAAAAGCCATTTAAGGGCAGCATGATCCGTTCTTAGCAAGAATTTTATTCCATACAGGTACTTGTAAAAGTGTTCGACTGATTTTACCACTGCCAACAGCTCGCGTCGAGTAACACAGTAATTTCGTTCTGGTTTGGATAAAGTTTTACTAAAGTATCCACATTGCTGGCGTCCGTGTCCAAAATAAATTCACCATCCGGAAGAGGATAACTCAGGACTGGTGAGCTGGTCAACGCGTTTTTCAGGTTCTTAAAGGCTTCTTGGCACTTTTCGTCCCATTGGAATCGTCTTTCTCCCTCTGTCAAACGTGTCAAAGGCTTAGTAACCTTTGCGAATCCTGTTACGTACCGACGGTAGTATGTGTATAATCCAAGAAAGCTTCTTAAATCATGTTTGTTCTTCGGTATTGGCCATTCCCGCACCGTCTCCACCTTTTGTTTGTCCACTGCCACTCCTTGATTTGAACCGACATGGCCCAGATACTGTACTTCCCTCTGGAACAAGTAACACGGCTGTGTTTTTACCACTCGATTAAAAAATCAAAACAATTTCTTATTACTGGTAAGCGATTTAAACATTTTAATTGTTTCTCTTATTTTTTTCCAGAAGTCCGGTTCACAATTATGCCTTTACACTATTTAAGTGAAGTTGAAGCCAACAGGGCACTTGGTATGATTCAGGGTGGTTTGCGCCAAGTCGATGTTGCGATAGCGATGGGAACATCACAAAGTGTAATAAGCAGACTTGTAAGAAGACAAAGAGAAACGCATAGTGTACGTAGAAGGCCTGGACAGGGTAGACCAAGATGTACAACCGTCAGACAAGATCGTTACATCACCCAAAATGCAAGAAGGGACACCACAATATCGGCCACCTTGATATTTCTCCGACTCCACGCCGCCACTGGTAGAAGAGTCTCTGTTAGAACCATTCGAAATCGACTTCTCGAAGTCGGTTTAGTGTCTAGAAGACCGCTTGGAAGAGTACCCCTTACTGATCGCCAGCGACGAGACCGGGTTCAGTGGGCGCGAGAAAGGTAACATTGGGTGGCCGAATGGAACACCGTGCTATATTCTGATGAGTCCAGGTATGATTTGTATAACGATTTAAGACGAGTTAGGACGTGAAGGCCAAGAAATCTTTCAAGGCATCGCGGATATATCCAAGAAGTTCACGCTTTTAGAGGTGGCTCGATAATGGTTTAGGGTGGCATCGGTCTAGGTCGCCGGACGCCATTGTACATTTATGACGGCAACATGAAAAGTGAGATGTATAGAAGAGACATTGTCAACATTGTCAACCCCATTTCCGAGGAGGTAGGAGCGGAATTTCAGTTTTTAGACGATAACGCACTACCTCATAGGGCATTATTGTTCTTAACACGATTAGAGAACTTAAAATTTCGCATCTTTCTTTACCATTGATGTCACCTAACCTAAATCCCATCAAACACATGAGGGATGTTGTTCAAAGGGCGTTAGATACGAACCAGCCCCTACCACACTTCTGCAGTTACGGGATGCTTTCCCTCAAATATATTTATGATTGATAACTTAATAAGAAGCATGACTTAATAAGAAGCATGACTTATCGTTTCAAGCTGTTGTGGAAGCCAGGGGCAACCGTTTTTTTAAATCAGTAATTTTAAAATGAAATTTACTTTAATTTTTTGTTTTGCTTTGAAAAGGCTCCACTTTGCTGAATTATTTTTTATATGTGTAGAAATCGATGTACTTTGAGAATATACATTTAACAATTTTTAGTCTTTCCTCCTTTTAACCGAACTTTTAATATCCCCTATTTTTTGCCGGCAGTTTATTATGCTGTTCCCCAGAAACTTTCACGACCGTGAAACACCCTGTGTAATTTTCCAATTATTCATTGAATACATTTTTTTAAAACTATACAGTCTAGCTATTATCGAAGCTGTTATGTGCCAATTGTAGATGGGGCTTTAGCGGGCCGGTCAGGCTGGCTCGGCCCGGTTTTAAAAAATAGCGGTTAGGCCCGGGCCGGCTCTAAAGAGCATACTTCCTAGAATCCTATAGGTATTAAATTTAATTAATTATGTGTTGTTTTTGCAGGTTAAACCGGTGTATTTTTGCCCCTTCTGATTCAATTAAATTAAAAAAAACTACAGTGTCAAGGGTACACATAAAACTATCGTTAAAGTACTGCCAGTACTAGCAGTAGCCGATATAGATATTTCTGAATTTTAATCCAGGGCGTAATTTATTTATTATATTTAAATGTAAGATAGTAAAAAATGCAATATTATTTAATAAATGTGTTTAATGTAAATTACAAAAAATAAACAATAACTATGTTTTAAGAATATTTGTTAGTAGGTACAATTATTATATTCACTGGCCAAAGGTTTTTTCTCTTGAATATCTTCAGCTATTCCCAGCACTATTTCTTTAAATACCAGTCCATCCACATTTTTTGATAAATATTTTAGGAATAACCACTCTGAAAAATTACTATAATATGTTACTTTCGGGCCATTCCATGGATTTAATTTCCCTGGACTTGTATTCGAATAAACAATTCGATTAAATGTTCTACTTCGTGAATACAAAATAAATGTTAAAATTCTCCATATTAAACCCATAGCGGAGACAAATAATAAAAACACAAACCAAAACCATAAAAAACCATATATTTTTTCATTAATAATATTTAAAGCCATAATACACATTGTATCATGTTCTTGAATTGATCCAGATGGTCCATATTTTCGGAAAGAACATTTTGTCACCTAAAAATATATACATTTCAGTACTGTTCTTTTAATTTTTATTCTTATACTTAAATTTAATTTGGCTGAATTTTATTCCTAAATTTATAAAACAAAATTTAAGGCTACTTTTTCGACGAAATCCACAATTTTTTAATGTTTTGACCGATTAGCAATTATCTGAAGGGTCGATAATTCGTTATTTTTTTAATTTTTTTTTACTTATTGTTTATAGATACAATAGATTTTTAATTATGCTCTTAAGGATACGTCGGTCCTAATAAGTTTTAATTTCAATCGGCCAAGATACGTCGCGACGCGTCGGAAAGAGAGGTCGGATCTTAATTAATAGGAAATATCGGTGATGATAACACGATAATGATTGACCGACATATATTGCCGACTTTAACTTAACTTATTTAGTTTTAATCGACCACCAGCTCTACATCAAGAAGTACGACATGTATACTTATCTTCTATCGCATTTAAATAATTAAAAACGAGGGGAAAGGGGCTATAGAATTGTCGGTAGAAACATTTATTATTATTAATATGTTGAGAAGCCCACTGGTATAAAAAATATATAATGATTAATCGCTGTAAAGCCCAGCGGTGTTGCCATTTCTACTCGTAACAAATCAATTTTTAGATTCAAGGTCAAGCTTTAAATAATCTTTAATTGTCTTCATTGGTGGTTTCTTAAGTTTACTTGCTTGCTTAAGTAGTGTTCGTGTTTAGTATTTTCTGAAATACTGAAATACTATAATGTAGTATTATCCTTATATCATTATTAATGAATATTTATACCAATAAACATGTAATAAATAATTAATAATTAATAATTAGAATTATAGCTTTTATTATATTATTTGCTACAATTAATATTATTAAGAAGGTATTATAAATATATATTTATTTAAAAAACTTCTTATTTATTTTTATACAAATTAAAGTGTAGTACCTAAATATAATTGCTTCACATTAAATATTAAATGTTAAATCCATTGTGAAAGTGTTAAATATTTACTTATTTAAAAAAAAATTACATATATTATTCTATGCAAATTTTAAAAACTGTACAGTAACTACATAGTAAGTATAATTGCTTCACCAGTATTTTTTTAAAATTAAGATATTAAATGTTAAATCCAGTGTGAAAATGTTAAATGTTTACTTATTTTTAACAAAATTTACATATATTAATATGTAATATAATAATATTGCTAATTAGCAAAACATTACTCTACATATTTATAATTTTTTAAATAACTTAAAATCCTGTAGAACATTAAGAAAAATTTAATTTTGACAGATTTGACGTTTGAAAAATAAATTATGAGTATAAAATTAACGACATACATTTTTCAAGGTTTATGTGACTTAATTTGTAGTCTCTTTTCTCTATGACGAATATTTATCCCCTATTTTTAAATAAATGTTTAATAAATGAGCCATTCCACGCGTAACGGATAGAACAGTTGCCGTGTTTTTATTTACAAAATAATATTGTTCTATTATATTACTAATGTCAAATTTTTATAAATAGTTCTAAACTAAAGCTGTTTAACAAGGTTTTTATTTGGCAAAATTAGGTATCGTGGTTGACTGTTTAATTCCTTAAAAACTTATAATTTAAAGCGTAACGGACGGGACTTCGTAATGGTCCCGTCCGTTACGCTTTAAATTATTAATTTTTAAGGAATTAAACAGTCAATCACGATACCTAATTTTGCCAAATAAAAACCTTGTTAAACAGCTTTTGTTTAGAACTATTTATAAAAATTTGACATTGGTAATATAATAGAACAATATTATTTTGTAAATAAAAACACGGCAACTGTCCTATCCGTTAAGCGTGGAATGGCCCAAATGTAGATATATAATTTTAAAACAAATTAGTATCACCCCTACTCATACCGTCCCAGCAAACAGAGCTGTAACCAACTCGTGTTATTCACGTCGAATTTTGGTTGTTATTTAACGAGTTTTAAAGTAACGGAATATTGACGTGAAATAAACGTTTTGAAAAAACGAATGTTTTAACAATAATGAAATTTCTATATTTGTTAAAAATATTACATAAACATAAAAAAACTTCCCATACAGTTCTTTTAGTCGAAATCAAGAAGGTACTTACCACAGGAATTCTGAGAAGTTTTAAAAATACGTTTGATACACGTAAAATTTAGACGAAATATGTACCTAAGTACCAGCAAACAGAAAATGACCCACTACTTACTTTTAGCAAAAGCACTATTTTTGAGAAATTATTCAAGAACCAAAACACGTCAATTTTGTACCTTAAAGTCATCTAAAATGGACGTAAAGGCATATTAAAGATGACTTTAAGAATCGTCTTAACCACTTTAAGGGGGACGTTTTTTTACGTATAACTAACACATTTTAATTACGTCCACAAAATACGTCATAAATATGTGACATTCCAACGTTGATAACTCGTATTATATACGTAAAAAAACACGTCTTTTGGTTGAAATATTACTAAAATGTCACGTGTTTTTCGCGCTTTTCTGTTTGCTGGGATAATCTCTAAAAGAACAAAACTACTATATTGGCGATTATAGTCTCTACAGTTTTATAAAATAAATTTATTGTTTAGTTCGGATTACAAATTTAAATGGTACTTGGAACTACAAAAAATATTGAGGGAGTTAATATGGCCTAAAAACTCCTACAACCCGGGGCCAGACGTATCCTTAATCCGGCACTGAATTTTTGCGTTTTTCAACTTCTTTTAAATGACTAAAATATCTAAACCTTGCCTAAAATACTTAAATGCTTGTCTAAAATAAAAATAAAACATTATGAATTGGTAATATTTTTAATGACCATATATTTGTATGTGAAACCGATTTCTCTTTTAAAAATGCACGCAACAAAATAGTATGTTAAATCGCAACACACTCTAACCTACAAACACAACGAAGCGCCGACCACCACTTTGCGATGTATCGCTCTGACCATAGCAAAGCAATGATAACATCAAACCACGGCAAAGCAAAGCTCCGCTCAACAAAATAAATAAACACGGTGATTTGAACCCTTTTCTCCAATCTATAGGCATTAGGGCGGAGCGATAGTAATAGGTACGAAAAATAAACTATTTTTTTTTGTTTAGCCTTTCGTTGCCTTTCATTTAATTATACCTTTAGTCCTTCCGGTGTTTCCACATACTGACTTAAAATCTAAATCTTAGATGCCTTAGCTACCATCTTAATGTGTATTTCCACAGCCAGAGTATGGCATGAAAAATTCAATTTTTTTTTTGGTTTCGGGAATATTAACAACCATTTTCCTAATATCTGCTTCTGGGATACTTTTTTTCAATGGAGGTTCTGTGACTTTATCTGATTGCCAATTAATTAGCTCTGTATAATCGGTAGCATTAAAGTTCACTTCTAGCACTTTTAAATCACGAAGTTGGAGATTAGTTTTGGAATCTCGACATTTTAAAATTTGAATTAAGGCCAACTCTCTAATGTGTTTTCTGTCATCTCCCAGCATTGCAATTAAAACCTTTTCTAAGTGAGCAAAAAAGGCATTTCTTTGGAAAACCTTATTTACATATCTTTGAATTTGGTCGGTAAATGTCGAGAAGCTTGGATTAAATGAAATAAATGTCGGTGGCCATACTTACAAGCATAATTTTTTCCATCCATCATCTATAAATGATGAAGAGGAAGTTCATTAAAGTGCAACCGGCATATAAACCCATGAACCGGTTCACTACTCTCTTAAAATGAATTAGTCAAAAATAACTAATTATAAGTCATATTTGACTAATTGTCATAGTGAAAAAGCAGTCACTAATAATTAGTCAAATTCCACTGAATGAAATAGTCAAATTAGTAAATTTAAATTTAAAAAAAGTTTTGACCCAGCCTGGGATTGAACTCAGGTCTGTCACTTGACAAGTTTGTCAAGCTAACGTCTTAACGGATTAGGCTGTCAGCCGCTCTTATAAAGATTATTATTTGTCAATAAATATGGTTCATAATATTTTAAAGTTTAATATATTATTTGTCTTGCTATTTTGAGCTAAACTTTTTGCATCTTTATTTGTTTTATGGGTCATTTAACCATGGAGAGGTATATGCATTTAATTCAAATAATAGGTACTTTGTTGTTGGCCGTAAACGACTAAAGAAATTAGTTACTTTTAACTGTCAGAAATAGTCAAATATGGTGACTAATCTTAAATTAGTCAAACTTTAACTATTTACATAGTAAAAAATAACTATTTAAAAGTGAAAACGACTATTTTATTAGTAAAAAATGCTTTTACTAATTCAAATAGTAGAATTTTGGCTATTTCATTTTTAGAGAGTAGGGAAAATTCCAACTGTTTTATGACACCATTTTTTAAGCCTGTATTTACTACCGTACCGTCACAACCCACCTCAATTTTGTTTAAATTTTCATCCAAATACTCTTGAATGAAGTTAAAGCTTGTCTTAATACTACTGGCACTTCCGGAAGTAGGGGTCACATGACCTAAGTAAGTAGAACCTGGTTCTGCAATAAGAACTACACTGTTCAAAATCAAGCCTTTTGAAATACCTAATCAGAATTAGTTAAGGATAAATAAGGTAATATGCTTAAACGAGTAAAGCAATTTACCTTTTCGTTTATTAGGCAGAAACGAATGCCTTAGTTCTATGGTGTATTCACTAACTTCTAGATAAATATTCATACTTTACTTAATAAACTTGTCAAATTTAAAAAGATAGGCAGATTACCTAAATATTTAGTTAAAATCTCAATTACTTTTAGGTACGACAATTTTGCTTTTAGTTTAGGTAATTCTTCTAAATTATTATGGCAAATTATTGAACTAATTTAGGTAAATTCCTTTAAATATTAGTGACTTACTTGCAATCGGCTACGATCGCTAATACCGACGTTTTACGATAAATATTCGCGCCTATATTGTCTACCATAATGCCAAAATCAACGAAAGCTTAAAGACCGCGTTGTGTGCTATTGATATAACAACATAGTTAACAATTATTGTGATATAAGTGAACATTTTGTAGTGCTATAGTTAAGTAATCCAAACTAAACGAAATTTCCCATTGACCCCAATATATTTTTAAATAATCCCAACCCTGCAGGGTTGGGATTATTTAAAGGGTTCCGGTACTACATGTAGTACCGGAACCGCCGTTGTTAATTCGCCTAGGACACAAAGATAAAGGAGTCCTAACTTGGAAGAAAATTCCTATGCTAGGATTTTCACTAAAAATATATATAATTTGCCTGAAAACTTAGCTAAAATCTACCTAAAAATTTAAGCAAATTGCCTTAGAAATAGGAAATTTATTCTTTTATTCTCAGGCAATATCCCTTACGATCTAAGGTGTATTATCTTTGAAACCTAAGTAATTTTGCTTAATTAATTATATCATTTTCTTTAAAAATATCAGTTAAAGAATTCACTAATTTAAAAGGGAAATATTCCTCTGAATTCATTTCAAGCAGTTTGCCTTAAAAAATCAATGGTCCTATATAGTCTAATATTTTAGGTAAAAATTAGCTAAAATTTTGAACAGTGTATGTGTTCCTCAATAATTTGCTTGAAGATCAAATTTTTTCAACTGCGAGTGCCTTGTCTTTTCTTCCGTCGAAGTAGATTCCAGAAAGTTCTTATTGTTGCAGAATTTCCATATTAACCAAATTTTCCCTCCGTCGTTTCCTTTCACCCCTCTGATCTAGATTCTCGTTCCATTATAGGAACTTTGATTTAACACCAACACGAATTAAAAGATTTAAAAGTTTTAACCTTTAAATGGTGAATTTAATATTAGCGACATATTTGGTGATCCAGGGTTAAACTGACCCTGTAAATTAAACTGTTTTTTTTTTGTGAGCGAATCACCTGCTTTGGTGCGATGCTATGATCATTGATCAGAGCAATGACGCTGACATTCTTTTTCCTTTTACAAAAAAAAACAGAAAACAAAAGAAAACAAATGCCCTAGATAAATAAAGAAAAACAAACAAACAAAAAAGAATTTCGAACAACTGACAAATAAAGAAAAATAATGCTAAATAATTTTATTTATCATCAAACTAATAACCCTAGATCACTCGCGCACCTAAGCCAACGTTATTACTCGCGCCCCGGTCTTTTCGACCGATTAACGATTTTTGCAGTTTAAAAAAATATAAAGAGTTAAGATATTTTTTTATTGTTTATTATAATAATATAATAACAATACAAAACTTTTAAAGCGTGAAAAAATATTATTTTTTAATAAAAGAAAAAGAAAAAAGTTTATTATTTAAAATTAAAATATTCTTTAAAAGTTTGAAACGTAACAAAATATTATTGAAGGTTTTTAGGAATTGTCACGGAGCCATAAAATCCAGACATGCGCGTTTCGAATACTATGTAGAAAAATCCCAGAGGTCGGTCAAAAAGACCAGGACGCGAGTGATGTAGGGATAAGCGTACGTAAAGTTAATACCAATCTCTCTATACTATTTCGGGCATCAATTGGGAAATGTCTTTTTATATTCTTTTAACCAATTATAGCCCATGTATAGGCGCGTTGCTAAGAATGTAACCCAAAGTAGTAGCCTGTAGCCGTCTGGAATTTTTGAGAGCCAAAAAATACATATAAATTGGCTATAAATAGCCCAATCTGGCAACTCTGGCCCCCCAGTATCATCAAGCCCGGTGTCTAGCGGGGGTGTAGTTACGCCACTGACCGCGTATTTCACGGTTCAGATACGTGCATATTTAATGCACGTAGATTCAAAGAATGCAAATTGTAGCTTAGGTGTTTTTAGGGTTTTTTTAAAGACCCTCGCCCCGCAAATTTGTCTTTGTAGTACTTTTGATGTTTAGAGTATTGTTTTTATTTAAATTTGGTAACTATATTCTCATTGACTAAAATATTCAACTTACCTTTGGAAATACTCTGTCAAAAACGGTGACACTGGAATTAATTCCTTCCCTCATCATTGTAAAGCCAAGAGTCAGAAAACTATTATTTAGAAATTTGTCAGTCAAATAAAATTGAACAATAACATGCAAAACATTTAATATTTCGCATATTATTAAATACCTCGCCCAAGATCTATTTACATATAGTCTATCAACAAATGATAATTTTATTCTATTTATAGCTTCTTCCCTAAAATAAATTTTTATATAAAACATGTAATAATACAATCCATTATTTGAAATTTGTTGCTATATTTTATATTTAGAAATTTAACATTGTAAAAATGTAAATAGAAAAAGAAAATTGCTAACCTTTCTTTTGATGAAGGAATCTTAACACCATTGTGTTCTAAAGGCTTATCCAAATAGGAATATGCCGTAGCTTCTAATGTATCGGCTAAGTTTTTAATTCTGTTTCCTAAAAACAATTTATTTAGCTAAAATCCGAAAATAATTCCACAAGTCACTGTAACTTATATTTGTTTTTTAAATCAAAGAACTTTTTTGTTGATACACACCTTTCCATTGACTTAATAAATTATTTAAAGTTTTTTTCTAAATTTTTAAAGCATTTAATAAAATAAAATGCAATATGTTCCGCAAAGCATCTTTTCGAGCAATAACCTATTGCGCCGCGGCGCGCCGGGTGCGGATTCGAAAAAAGCGGCAAGGAGGGTAGTTAGATATACCTTCAACTGTATGTATCGACTCGTAATTGAATTATCTGTAAACAAATTTTTTCTTCTTAGTTCGAACATCGCTGCTGGTAGAAACTTGAAATTTATACCATTTTTTCATGCCCCCGAGACCCACCTCTCGACCAAATTTTTTGGGAGTGACAAAAGCCCAAATCCATTTTTCTTTCGTCAAATTTTAGTCGTTTAGTTAAAATCACTTGAGAAGAGAACGAATAAGTACTTTTAAATAAATTTGGAGAACATTTTCAGTGACATTTCTATATGCAGTGTTTAAAATCTTAAAATAATTATGAAAACGAATTATTACGTACCGTGAAACGCATGAAGCCCATTAAAAAGAAAAAAAAACATATGTATGTGTATATATGTATGTAAACCAACATGCAATAGTTTCAATGCAGCGAATGTCTAAAGAAACGAGCAGAAAACAAGGATAAGAAAACCATAAAAGGTAGAGGATGTCTAATTATTTAAAAAAAAACTATAAATAAATAACAATACATACCAATACAATTATTGTTTTTTTTTAATAATTTACTTTAAAAACAAAATATGGTAGTAACCAAATAAATCTAACCAAATACCATAATAATTACGTGTTCGTATCCAGTGTGGCCTGTCTTGCCAGACAAAAACGACAGATTATTAATTTTGATTGGACACAGTCTACATCGTTTATTATTGCAAAACTGTGCGGTGAAAGTACACAAAAATTTATATGGCACTTCTACAGGCATAAGTGCATACGAGAAAAAAGTGCATTAAATTTTCAATGTTAGATGATATGCATTAATTAAAGACATGAGCTTTATAGGAGATTTATTAACGCATATCTTATAACATTAAAATAAGAAATCGATGTTTTCCTCTTCTTGTATGTGAATCTCTATAATGTCGTTACCCTTCAACTTTTTATTTTAAGTGTCCCAAAAAATATAAAAGTATGGTTATGTAGGTAATGAAAAATTTTTATACTAATTTTGTTGGAAAATTGATTAGTACCTATAGGTATAGGAAAAAACAAAAAAAAAATTGTTAAAGGGTATTGTAGCGGCATTACCTCCACTACTCAGGCAAACAAACACCATAAAACAGGCAAAAGTATAAAACATTTTAATTACAATTACGTGACAAAATGTACGGATTGTCGAGGCTCACATTTTAATCCTACCGACAATAAAATAATCCCACAACCAAACTTCACAATACCATAAACATTTCCTTATCCTTCGAAGAATTTCTAGCCTAATTAATATCCAAAATCCCAGCAATTTGGAAAGCCCTTGCATTAGCTCCAAATTTCAGGTCGACGTACAAGAAGCACGTAACGGCCGAACTACCTGTATCTAAAATATAAAACCTCGTCCTATCCTAAGCTAATCACTCAGTAACCATCATCCGGTCGACATCATTCAGTTCCAAACTATCGGGCCTCGACATCCAACTTAAACGCTGTTGTAAGTTACACCACTATTTTTCATTGTAAATAAATAACGTACTACGAACAACACAAGTGTTTAACTTCACACGAAAAATACCTCACTACAACCCCCGCAGTATAAATGAATTTATTTTTAGATTCTTTGTAAAATTCTTAGCAAAATTCATATAACATACCATGGTATATGTATGCATATACCTAAATTCAACCGTTTCTGATATATTCGCATTTGAAACGTTATCATCAAATATTTTTTTAAACTGTTATAAATCAAGAAGCCTTAGGATAACAAAATGTTTAATGAATATAATATAACTATAGGGACATTATGTCAATATGTCTTGTTAAGTAAGTAAAAATGCCGTACTCAGACAGAGAAAAACAAACTATTTTAACTTATTATCTTAAAAATAATTTTCAGTAATGCATCATCGCTCCTACGGGCCACACGTGCGTTTCTCCGCTCTGAACTATAAACAAGTATACAGTGCATAAGCAGTGCATTTTAAACCTATACAGGGTGTCCCAGAACTCGCGCCACAGAGAAATAGGGGGCGTGCCGATAGCAATGGAGATGCCAAATTTAAAAATAAAAAATTTCTAGGTAATAGTGTAATCGAATGAGAGCAAAAAAGCGGCAGCCAATACCGAGAGCTCTCGCCTAGGTTAAACGTAAGAGCTTTAAAAATTGCTAGGAGACGATAGAACATTGTTGTATTAAAAACATTTAAAAATCTTTTGGCCAACTGTATTTACTAAGTTGTCAAAAGCTTTCAAAAATGAGGTTATTAATTTATGACTTATACTTCAGAACGCCAATGTTTTAAAATAACGATTAGGAAAGGGCTGGGAAAAAACTCGCGTTGTCTCCCTGGCGTTGCGCCCACACTAAATAAATAAATAATTATCATTTCAGTATAATCATCTAAGGAAAACATTATTTATAATAACTTAATTTATAACCTAATATAATATTAATGACAGGAGTTTGACAGCAGTGTCACAATGAGTTGGATTCCAGTGGACCAAATATTTTACATATTTTTTATTATCAACAATGCAACCTAAGTATCCTTGCAATTTAAAGAATTCCCTATGGCCATCTATTGGGATTGGCTATCGTTTTTTATTCTTATCTCGCTTATCCTTTGCGTTAGACAATTTTAATTTTCAAATATGTGTTTCACGTTACTTTCGGCACGTTCCGGTTTTCTATGTGGCGCGAGTTCTGGGACACCCTGTATATCTAAAAAGTTAAATGTGTGAAGTGAATTGCCACCCCACCTGTCGGAGTCACGGATCCACCCACCGGAACAGGTGGTTCACCGCGGCATGAACCTGGAAGAGACATCTGCGATATTCAGATAAGTTTTTTAATATTGCACGTCGCTAATTGCGAAAATAAGAATTCACCGAGTCTACAGGTGTGTTTATACCTTCCCAAGTCCCAAATCTTTAGAATCAACAAGAAAAAACAAAAGAGTTGAACAGGGTTAACGAACCCTACACTAAATAGACCAAACTAAAGTAAAGTAAAGTAAATCAAATTCAAAGCTACCTACTCTCTGTCGTATAGGACGTGACAAGTAGTACTTAATAAACACATAAATCTTATTTAAGCAAACCAATTTCTAATCTTTGCTTAAATAAACAAACTGCGAGACCTTCTAGAGTATATAAAAAAAAACAAATGGTAGAAGCAGCAAATTAAAAAAAAATAAAGTAAGAATGAAAAGAACTAAATTTAAATGGTAAACGGTTAATACACTAATAACAAAATAAACAAAAAAGATACATAGTCGGTAGTCGGTGCTCGGCAGGAGGGGTTGATTAACCACGAAGTCAGACGGCACTTACGGCGGGTCGCGGCCAAACACTTCGGTACTGAAGACAAGATTCAGTATCTTAAGGGGGACAAGCAATTCTAAAGCGGTTACCAGGAACCGGAAACCGACTCGGACAGAGACGTTCAGTCAGGAGACTACCATGATGACATGAACTAGAGCAATTTTGATGAGTGGTTAAAAAACCTGTTAATCCCAAATTTGCCTCCCAAATCCATTTTAGTGGTAGATAATGCATCGTATCAACTATAATGGCAACCAAAAAAGCAGATATATCTGTGAATAAAGCTATTCTAAACCAGAAATATATAAAATCATAAAGCAACATAAATCGGCAACCAGGATTTATAAATTAAATATTTTAATGGCTAGTCATGTACATGAGACTTTCACCCCCAAGCTAAACCCCATAGAAAAAGTGGGGGCACAGGTGAAGCAATGGGTAGTAGCACATAGTAACTAAACTTACAAAAGAAGCCTTCACTACAGTGACGCCTAAAAGATGGGCTTCAATCTGCTCACATGTTATGAAAATTGATCAGGACTACATTTCAAAGGAACCACTCCTAGATGATGCCGTAGAACGTTTTATTATTCATGTTACCGATTCCTCTAATGGGAAATCAAATTATAATAGTAATACAGAAGAGTCTTCTGAGAAGACGACATATCAACAGAAGCTTATTCTGATTTATGATTCTTATTTCGTATGTTTAATTTTTTTCCATTTGTGTATTTTTTCTCATGTATTTATTTTTAAAATAATAAACTTTGTAATAAACATTATACGTTTTTTAATGAAATCCCAGCCCCAAATAAAAACAAACAAAGTTTATCACTTTTGTTGTAAAATAAAAACTATTATTATAAACGCATTTTTGAACTTCTATATTTATTTCTGAAACCCTAAACATTCTTATATTTATTGGTTAATATTGCCAAAAACTAAATAATAGTTATTTATGTCATTAGGTTAAGAAGTAAGGCTTTTTGTGCTAAGCTCAAAGTTTGAAGGCCGACGCGTAGCGGAGGCCTACAATTGAGCGAAGCACAAAAAGGCACTTCTTGGCCGAATGGAATACAACATTTTATCTTCAAAGCACTTTATATAGGTCAATTTAATTCAACATGAAAGCGGCCTAACCTCACTTTTTTAGAATCTCATTTATTTATTAGCTAATGATTACATTAAATGTACAATAATTATTATTCCTTTTAGAACCTTTTAGAAGCAGTAATAGTTTGACAATACCTAGCTACATGATTTAAGTAGAAATGGATTTTTGTAAGAAAATGGTTTACTTACCCTCTCCAGTACCGTCTTGATGCTCGAAGAGGTCGGATGCGTCAAGATCCCTCCTAAGTGGCGTATACGGTACAAACGTAAAATACCAAAAACGAAACAAAGTATCCGGAAATGTCGGTGATCGTTAAT